TATGTATACGCACAGCACAGGGGAGCCCCGCGACGACGACGACAATAGGCGAGACGACGCGCGGAGAGAGCGAGAGCGAACTCAGTTAAGGGAGCATTATTGTAGGTAGGTACGGGCCCCTCTGGAGGAGAAGCCGAAGGACGCGGTCGCAGGAGGGTGTGTGTACGGGTATTGTGTGCTTCGCGTCCGTGTATCTGCACTGCTGCTTTGCGAGTTCGAAACGAGCGCGACGAGAAAAGTAACGTATATGTGTATTACGGTATATGGAAGAAAAAAAAAAAAAAAAAAAAAGGGGCGAGACGACGAGTTTGCCATCCGGACGCTAGAACGGGCTCTTCCGAGTCATCGGGTGTCTTGACGATGATGCGCGGTACACCTTTTCCCGTCTTGTTTCCGCTTGGCAACCAGGCAACTCGCGGGGTTTGCCTTGGAAAGAAAAGATTTCTCAACAGTTGTACATCATTATGGGCCATTGCGCGGACCAAGCGTATATTATTGAAATAATTTTGTTGTTGGTATATTTTAGACAAATAATTGTGTGCGCCGAGTTCACGGAGGTGTCTGTACTTCGCGCAGGTACAGAGACTTTCTTTGCCCCTGATGGCGTGAATATTGTTACGCAGCCACGTAAATGCAAAAAAAATGATTACATCAATTAATTAATTATCAAAATGAGAGAATCATAAAAAAAAGAAGATCAAAGATCGTTGATTGTGTACGCTAAAGGGGTTGAATTTCAATAGGATCGGGAGGGTTGATAAAAAAACCTACCTTTATACCTTGCAATTTTTGACAAAAATTATTTTTTTTCAGAATAATATGTGAAAAGGACAGCAATGCCACGTTTAATGACGGAGCAAAGAGGCTTACATAGAGACACATGTTACATTAATAATAAACAGTGGTGTCCGCGCCAGTGACAGGAAAGACCGAGACTCGAAGCAGAAATTATCCTCTTCGATAATCCGATTCTCTCCCGACTGTGCTAACCTTTGCTCTGGGGAAAGATAATTCAGATGTTATACTTGCGGCACGAATTGTACTAGAACTACATTAGAGTAATTAATTGATGCAGTTAAAAAAGACAAAAAGATGCTGAGCTTAACTCTTTATTTTTTTTTGTAAATGTACCTATGGATTCAATAAAACTCGTATCTTTCGCTTTGGTTTTTGATTTTTTGTGAATTAGCAGTAGTAGATTTTTGGTACAAATCGTAACAAGGATTAAAATAAATAAATTAAAACATGGTCACTGAAATAATTTCTTAAGTTGCAAAAGAAAAAACTTTGAAATTAATGACGAAAAAACGCTGGATACGCTATTTTGCAATAACTTCTTTTTGTGGATATCTTTTTAAGTTAAAAAATATTTATTGAAAAAAAAAAAAAATTATTTATATAGTGTGTGAGAACTAAGTAAATTTATTAATGATAAAGCTTCGGTCTAAAGTAGACACATGTTACATCAAGATGAACAGTGGTGTCCGCGCCAGTCGCGGGATAGACCGAGATTCGAAGCAGAAATCATCCCCTTCGACTACCCGTTACTGTCCCGACTGAGCCGACCTTTGCTATGAATACATAATTGTTTTAGATGTTACATTTATGGTTAAAATTATTTAAACGCCAATGAATAAACTTCGTCAATTTTAAGGTGTCCTTTGAAAGTTGGTACGCATAAAAAAACATCAAATGTACATTAAAATTTCACAGGGTGTAAAATAAAAGAAAGTTTTTCAATATCCAGAGCTACAAGTCATCTCGAGTAGTCCCCAAGGTTTCAATAGCAAAATCCGAGCACCGAGCGCAATCGTAACCATCAGCACAATATTATACCTACAACACGCACAGCATTCAAGACGCGAAGGCGAGTGGTCACTTGACCATTCCACGTATTCACATTACGGATTTAAACGGGGCGCACAAAGCCGGTCAATCACAAATACCCACTTGGCCAAATGAAACTCTCTCGAGCCGAGTTCTCCTTGACCGTCAATATAAGCACAATCGGTCCGCCGCCACGCGCCCGTCATTATCTCACGCAAGTCGTAGCGAAAAAAAAAAAAAAGAAAGTAAGGGGAGGAATCTCACCTGGTGGCTCAATTTGTCGTTTAATTTCGATCAATTTTCCATACCCCATATACTGCACGTTTTTTGCAAACCCCGCAACAGCTGACCGGCCCATAATACATTAACGGTCCTCGCTCGCGCGTACAGCCGCGTCTATACCCTCTCCCCTAAAAACTACTCGTGTATAGATATACAGGTATTGTATACTTATGTGCTTATAAGCGCGGCGAGTCCGCGCTAAGGGTAGGTCAGTGCCCCATGCAACACATATACACACGGGCTTCCTCTCGCCCTCTTCGCTCTCTCGAACCGAAGTCCAATATCTGAAGGGACCCTCTACGTATATATAATAATATATGGTATGGGTACACAAGAATCTGGTTCATTCCCCTCGCGTTGTACGTGTACGCGAATGCGTGTTGGTGGGTATCGGGGTACTTTTGGCGAATGGAAAGAATCGAGGGAAAAGAAGGACAGGGGCGCCAGAAAGGCATTGCCACCTATAACTCGGGGGGGCAGGTGAGCACCTGGTGTTTTACATCATATATATATTATATATGGTCTTGCATTCTCATATATATATCATCATATATATATTATATGGTCTTGCGTATTCGCTCTCTTACTGGACACGTGTGTGTGTGTGTGTGTGTGTGTTCGCGCACGCGACTCTTGTTTCGTGCGTGCGAGTCGATTAATTTTTTTTTTTGTTTTTTTTTTTTTCCTTTAGACATCTCGTATCTTAAGGTCATTGGTTTAAGTGATTGGACAAAGTTGCGGTGTAAAGAACAAAGTGTACGTAGATCAATCCGTGAAAATTGGCTCTTTGTGGGGGTTATTATTAATTTAAAAAAAAAAAACCAAAAAAAATCAATTTGAAACCATGGACATGATTGTTTTTGAAAAATTCATTGACACAGCAAACCTATCATACGTTTTAAATGCGTGTATACTTGATTAGTTTACTTTAGGTGGTTATGATAATATAATTTATGTTTGTTGAAAAAGTTGATGGGAATTTGGGAATAGCCCTTTTAACACCTCGAAAAATTAATCGAGTCTCCAATGGCGCGCCGATGGGTATAATATATATACATATATAAGTACACGTGTACCATACATGTTTACATAACGAGAGGGAGACGACGGCGCGGGCACGTGCCATCGAGCTGACAAGCGAACGGCCGTCATAATCGTGTAGAGTAGTCGAAAAACGCCCAAATTAATGAGGGTCGAGTCGTCACGGAGCAGAGAGAGGAGAGGCGTATTTATAAGACGGAAAAACGAGAGAATACGCGCGGTCCCCCCCCTGCGGAGGTCCTAACAGACTGTGTGTATATTATATGCTTCAGCTGAGAAATAAGAAAGAGAGAGGCCCCGAAAAAAAGGGCCGTGACCCTCGCCAAGGCCGGGGAAATCTTTGCCTGTACTGTGTATATAATATACGAGGGGCTTTTGCTCCCTGCGAGGCAGAGAAGGACGCGTGGCTGTATATAACCGATCCGAGAAAAAGACACCGAAGATTCGATATCGATCCGGCCACTTTGGGCGCTTTTCCGAGCTTTTCTTCGGCACACCTTGTATTTAATAAAAACCTTTTTTTTCTTCATTTTGCAACGTCGTGTCGCTCTTGCTTTCGCGTATGGATATACATTGTACTCGAAAAAGGGGGACTTTTTTTTAAAGAAAAGGGTTAAGAATTTATATAGGAGGGGGAAGATGCGGATGATTTGGGTTACACAGGAGCTTGACGACTTTGCTGTTGACAAGCCCCCTTTGGGTTCACGTACGGTATTTTACGTTCAGAGAGGCACATTATCCAGAAATAAAAACGGCGTCCGCTTTTCGGGGGTACACATTCACGGTGTGTGACGTGTTGTTTTAATTTTACAGTCGTAAGATTGGAAAAAGAGAGACACTGCCTTTTTTTTCTCTAAATTTATAATTTATTTGTTAATCCTGTCCACGAAAAGTCTAACTGTTTGTTTGGATTGTTTTTTTTTTTTTTTTTTTTTTTTTTTTTCTATACAGACGCGACAATTTCTGTCATTTTATTTTTACTATACACCAAATATGATTTTAATCATCAAGGAATCAGTGCCATTTCAATAAATTGTGACGGGATGATCTTGCATTTTCGAAAAAAAATATAGTAAGTATTGATCGAAGGTCCAAAAACGAGATTGAGGAAAAGCGACGGTTACCTATACCTACTAGAATAACATTACGTTTGAGGGCTCGGAAAAACGTACTTGAGTATATATATAGTATGCCGTGTAGTGTGTGTATACCTATACGGTACGTTGAACTACTTTTCAATCGTCGTGTTGATCGGTTGTGCCCACACTTATACATATACATAGGTGTACGGGGATACGTGCTGCTGAAACTACCCTCATACGTGCATGTTACTCGCTTTTGGGACGGTGTAAACGCTATACCATCTGCTCGATGTGTATACATTGTCTAATGGTATGGGTGTGAAATTTTGGAGCCGCTCGATTTCCCCGTGCTATTTTTAATTAACGATTCGTGTTTTTTTTTGTTTTTTTAAATAATATTTTCTTGCGATAACTGCATAATTGATAAACAACATAGGTGTTAAAAACAACCCAATTCACATAAATAAATTGTACACGTACAGGTATATTGGGCCCACTTCAAAAGCTACTAGTGTAATGCAATGAGTAGTGTGTATAATATGTAATAGGTAAATAAATAAAGTGTACACATAAAACATATCATAAAATTAAATCATAATACATAAGCATGTTTTCATGTAATAAGCTATGTAATATTTTCAGAATAAATAGCAAAGAAAACAATGATCCATTTCTTCCCTCAGCAGTACAGTCATCATCGAGGGCGCACAAAAAAGCATCAAGAAAAGTGATGAATAAAAGCAAGAGTGTGAAAACGCAGCAACTCACCCATGTCACGTAACAGCGGCCACGATAGCTGCAGGCTGCCGAGTGGAGTGTTGGCGGTAGCGGCGTTGTTTTCATCGTCCGATAATCTTGAAAGTTCGAGATCCCGCGTTATGACGGCGACCGGTGTCGGGGGGGTCAACGGCGACTCGTTATCCAGCTCCGTTATCTTGCCCAGAGTCAGGACTCTCCTGGCACTAAGGCTCCGACGGCGCGACATTTCTCCACTTACGTACAAATGCAAAGCAAAAGATTGTGCTTTTTGTGAGTTTTTCTTTTCTTTCTCTTTCTGTCCTATATGAACTGTTGTGTATATATATTTATACACTTAACGATCACTTAGTCTTGTCAAATGTAAAAAAGCGCGCACTGCAACGAGCTTGTGTCAACTGCTAAGGTTCGAAAGCTTTACTTGGCGGAACGTCAGTTTTAGCATCACTAGCGACGACGGTAAACTACGCGCACTCGCGTAACCGTTGCACAGGAACGTTCACATACCACGAAGCTTCTTAAGTTGTATGAAAGTCTGGCTCACCTGAAAAATACAAACACACGAGGCTTGGTTAGTACTTACTTTTTTTGTTTGTTTTGTTTTGGTTTTAGTATTAGCAAACGTGAAATAATTCAAAGCACCTATATACACGCCGAGAGAACCTGTGATACTAGTGTGGAACATACCGGCGAAATCTCAAAGAGTTAAATGTAGGTATAAGGTTGGCCGACCAAGCCGCAAACAGAATTCAACACAATCACAGAGAGGAATGACATAATGTGCCATCAGTCAACTGTCGCTCGACTGCTTTGGTCGGTAGTGTATTATTGCGATGACACGGAGAAAGACGATGTAAATTAATAGGTCGTGAGTAGTAGAGTTGAATTGAAGGAGATTGTATTATAAAAAAGTTTTTAATTTAAATTAAATTATGCACAAAGGTAGGAACACAACGCAGCAGGTATGTACAGCGATAACGCGTTTGAAGGTTTAGTGAGATGGACAAGCATGCATATTTTTCGTTGTAAATATAAACAAGACATATATTATGTACACACGACATCGGAAACGTTACTCTTCTCTTTGATTTTCCGGAGATAGCAGTGTAGGTGGTAGCTGTTGTATCTCAGTGTCGGATTACGCATGTGTCCACCGAAATGAGTGACTACAGATTGTGTATATATGTGTATGATCAGCTCGCCTTTCCTTATTCTCTGTTTGGTTAACGAATTCCAACGTGGGATAACGCGTGACGTGACAGTGTTTATTTATCTATACATAATATTGACACGATACATACACTAAATAGTTGTACAATATTGTAAATAAACATTAATAAGACATCGTGTGATACCTACTCACTGCCGAGCTGATGATTTCAACTCGACTTTAACTGTTATAGTATCAAATTGTGTATTGGAATTGGACGCGCATAGCGTATGAAACAAATAGTAGAACAAAAAATCTAAGAAAAACGTGCATCAACTCCTTGGCTGAAAATACCTATCAATCGTTGACAAATTACACGCGTAAAAACAAAACGGTCGTTAGAGCGGCCCTTGTCAGGGCGCATTAGAAATACTATAACATAACTGTAAGCTTCGACATCCGGCAAGTGTCGCACTTGTTTATGTTATAAGAATAACGGCTATTTCGCGGGTATTATACGCAGTGTTCGCACGACGAGCAGAATGGAGAAGAATCACGTGATATGTATGCGTGTACACCCCGGCTTTGAAGAGCGCCAAGTGCAAAATTACGTGGAGGACAGACGAAGGGGGCGTATTGGACATTGGGTGGTCCAGATATTCACGGCTCAGGTTACACACACTCACTTGCGTTCAGGAGAGAGAATGGGATCTTCTCTGCTGCAGATCGAATGTAAATTGAGAAGAGCACCAGCTGGCAGAACTGTGTGTATCATATATTAGATGACACGCTCGAAGCGCGGATTCGCGACTGCGACGCTTATATGTCCATACTTGCGTCTTTTGTTGTGGCGTGCGAAAATCTATTACTCAACATAGTTTCTAAAGAAAATATGTGAAAACAGAAGACTCGAGTTTTCTACTACAACTAAAATCGATACATGTGCTTCGATTTGCTATGCAATTTTTTATGGAGATGACAAATAAAGACGTACCTCCAGTCGTTACTATACAGAACGCTCGTCACAGGTGTTTCTTGGTGCACCTGCTTGCTTGCCTATAAGGATCTTCCAAATCTGCTGCATACAGAGGGTGCATTACCTGAAACACATACATTCGTTTTAGTTTTCATACATCAGAACCGAACTTTTATTTGCAACAAAGCATACGCACACACGTGCACGGACTCGGACGCGCGCGCGCGCACAGTCGCACACCCACACAAATACACCCACACACACGAATAAATTATTAATTTTTACATAAAAATATTTACAAGTGCGTTTTTAATTCAAGAGTCGTCTTATGATTGTACGTTAACAAAAGATCGCGAACCCCGCAAAGCCCCGAACATTCGGATGTACCGGTTCCACGTAGTGTATCACAATTTGCACCGCGTCGTAACCTGATAAACCGAAATTTTTTATACAATCTGAATGAGCGTATGTTAATTAAACATTGTACCAGTTTAAAGCATTATCCTGCGCCCGTACGTCTCGTTGAAGATACATCTAATGTTCGCAGGAGGAGGAAATCCAACGGTTGGCGGGACGCCAATATAAGGTTATGTGTGACGATAATAACGACTCGCCAATGTTCGAACGCTCGATAACGGCTATTTGCGACAACTTCACAGCTTTTTATTGCAAAAAATCGCATAAAAAACGGCCGAATAAGCTAAGAGAAAAACGAATGCTTGCACGACAACTCTCAAGACTCTCGGGGGTGGTGCGAATGCGCTGGTATATACTTTGGTTTATGTGTATACTTGTACGTATATCACTTGTCCCCACTTACTTTGAGTACTGCTATCACATGTGTCGCGTATGTTTACCAATTGATACATACCTACTTGTCAAACGGAGACTTTTAATCCAGCGGTTTATTCCGATGATGATACTTGTCCAAGTTCAAACTAAAGATACAAAGGTAACGCCGTCGCCGCCCGCCGCTCGCCGCTAAAGCTACCAATTGTCACCTGATACACGAGGGGGTTGCGCTCTCATAGGCGCGTTGCACACGGCACGATGGTCACGTGTGACCTGAGACCATATAAATATGTATATACTGGAAGCGTGTGACACGTGTATCCACTAAGCCCGCCAGATTTTCATCCCCACCACCAACGGATTTTTTTGTTCTCGATTCAAGTAGTTTTTGCGTTGAAATTGAATTTGTTGTTCGCGAAGGCGATGGCAGTAGATTTTGAATGTTTTCTTTATTTTAAATTATTTTCATCGCTTGCTTAACATAATTACATTTCAATCTTGTAAAAGGATAAGTGAAAGAAAAAAAAAACTTCTCCTATTGGTGCGAAAATTTAAACGAACAGCGATAGTGCGCATGACAGGTCAAATAGTATTTGTCGTTTTAATTTTTTCTCTATCCTGTATTTAACTGCTGTTACGATAAATTGAACGATGTTTTTTGCAAAATTTTAATTTTCACTTTATTACTAAAGTTTTAATTAATCAAATTTAAGGGTATATCTCGATCAGGTGCGTTAGATCAGCCCCCCCCCCCCGGGAGCACGACTGTCAGAATCTGTATAGTTTTCTTTGTTTGTGATTCAAGTAACGGAATACTCAAAGTAGAATTCAAGTTTTTTTGGAAAACATTTGTTGATTGTTAAATAATTAGCCAAAAAATTGTTTTATCTGATTTGAATTTCTAGAGCAGCAGCTTCATTTATTAGTCATCTTGGTTAACGAGAATTAAAAATAAAATTATAAATCAAGTGTTTGTAACTATTAAACTTTTTCATCATTACATGATGACGAACAAAAAATAGGTGAAATAAAATGTTATTTCTTTGGGTTAATAAATTCATTTCTCACCCGCTGTTTCACAGGTGTCTCATCGATTATCCATGTCATACAATTGTTTGACTTATTTCGTTAGCTTGGAAATGGACACAATAAGAAGCAAAAACAAGTATTTGAAACAAAATCAATATAATTTATTTCGTTTATAGTGTTATAAAAATTAATAATACTCATTGCATGATAGTACCATCACTATTTGTTCCTTAGTTTTTTAAATAAATATAAACTAATTCAAATAAAGATTTCTATTAGTCTTTTTTGAATCATAAAAGTCTATATTCACTTTTTAATGTTGTACTCAACTAAATATTAAAAACACAACTACCACAAGGCACTCCATTAGAATAGCTGCGCAATTCAATTACAACGACTATCATGCATTAATCACATGAGCCTTTAGTTACATTTTAATACTATTTGCTTGCTCTTTCTCTCTTTCTACTTATATATTTCTATAAATAAAGTAATCTCAAATCTTCCTGGCTGTAACCACCAAGTATAGGAGTCTTTTGAAAAAATCTTCACAGACTATTAAATGTATGTCAAATTGTCTTCTTGTCGAAATTCATTCGCTGGAACGGCCTCGATGGTAAAACATTGCTGCGTAAAGAATTCGATAAACTCTTTGGTTTGGGTGGAAGAGGTGGTGGCTTGGACAGTTTTATCGGCGAGATTTGTGAGACAATGCTTTGATTGCGCTCTTTCGTCGAATCTGTTTGTTGTCGATTGCCGTTCTCCAAGACAAGTGTTTTTTCAGCTTCGATTACTGTCCCATCCAGATTACACGAATTGTCAAAGCACCTTTCAATCAATTGCTTTTCATCTTCGGAATCGTAGAACTTGCTGTACTCGCGATTTAAGGAAGTACCGCGTGATTTTCTTCGTTTTTTGTCGTCCGTCAACTTGTCGTTTTCTTTGTTCTAAAATGTTGAAAATTTTTAGTCATCTAGGACTAAAACACACTTTTGTTTAGAAATGACGTAGAAAAGTTTGTTTAGAAACTATTATTATCAAAGATTACATTGAATTTTGAAAATGTGTACAAAAACGAAATGTATTACCTTTAAAAAGTCAGGAAGTTCAAAGTTTATTTCTGTTCCCCTTTGATCTTCTAATCTTGTTCGCTGGGCACGTTTTAGTCCCTCATACAAATCTAGAAGTAAAAAAAACACAAGCAATTAGTTTTGAGTCAAGTAAAAACTCACAGCATATTATAACCAAAAGATCGTTACTTTTTCCATCTCCATCAAACCTGCTGGGCAACTGCAGTTTAACACCGTTTCGCCACTTAGCTATCAGGGGTGGATGAGGTCTGTGACTCTCATCTTGTCCACAATCAGAGCCACTTTTATCACTCATATTACTATTTTTCGATTTAGACTAAAATAATCAAAAATTGCATTATTACATTTTATAAAACATCTTACTCATTTCTATAATGTAAGATTATTATGTGAATTTACCTTTTTCTTTACATGAAGGCCAGACTCTTTGGAAAAGAGTTTGTTTGAAAAAATGGAAGAACTATCGGATTTTTGGTCATCAGACTAAAATAAAAATTCAATTGGTAATGACAAAGGCAACAGACAAACTAAATTATGATTTATTAGTTGACTTTACCTTATATGAACCTTCGTCCCCCTCAACATTATTACTATCGATTTTCCCAACGCGAAGTTCTTCAAACACCTTATTTGTAATCTCATCAAGTGTAGGCTGGCCTCTTGGTACCTCTGGGGTTTTGAAGAAGTGAGCGTCGTCGATTACTTCTGAATTGATAAAGAATAAATAAATGAATATTAATTAGGACACATGGTATCGTCTTTTAATCCTCACTCAAGTACCTTTATTATTGGACGTGAGAGTAAGCTTCAACGGTGCGTTGCTTGCCAGTGTGTCAACAGAAACGGGATGTCCATCAGCCCGGACCGTAACAAGATCGAGCTTGAATCCGTATTTGTTCAAAAGAGGCTTCAACACCTCTTTGATTGTTTTTCCTTTGTGAGCAACGATGCTTACTACGCGATGAGATGGCAACTCTACCTTAATTATTTTACTTGGCACTACTTCCACCTCCTGACTGGCTAATACTGAACTTGAATGCTTGAGATTTATAATCTAAAAAAGACATGAAATTAGATTCTTGTACTTTTAAATTTTATGAACAATTGGTTTGGTATGTAATACAAATTAGTAATATGTAACTGGTACCACTTAAATATTAAAACAAAAAACGTGGTTTTGAAGTCTTTTTCAAAACTAAAACATCATGCGTCTTCTGGCAGAGTAATAAAAAATCTAATAATTTAAAGTTAGACACACATCAGAGTACACTAATCTGTAATTCCTTTATTTGAAATATTAAACAGAGACACGCACATATTCCATTAACTAGTATACCAAAACAATGTATATATGTACTACAATCAAATCAAGTTAGTACTACTTAGCCTCCCTTTTAAATAACTATGAGTAAAAAACTCTCAAAAGCTAACATGCACAATTTTCCAATGATTTGGCGGTACCATTACACGAAAGAACTACCACGATTAGCGTACTCCGAAAACACTGAGTGAGGGGTAAAATGGTGTACACTCAAAGAGCCAGAGGGTAAAACACAATAAACACAAACCTCGTCCGTAGCAAGCACAAGGACGTCGTAGTTAGAGTATCGTAGAGCGCGTTTGTCAAGAAGGCGCGTGACGACGTCCCGCACACTGTCCGAATGATTGGTGGGTATGACCGTCGTCGAACCATCTGGTAGGATAACCCGACAGAGGCCGGCGCATTTAGATACGTGGGCATCTCGCCCCTCGCTCGATTGTCCGTCGCAGGACGAAGCCGGCTATACAATATGCACAATTAACGGATTGCAAGCGAATGCATATTTCTTTTGTTCGAAAGTTAAACGTGACGCGCATTATTGATTGTTATTTGCGAATTTTATTTTTCCAGAATTACTTTGTAAAAAAAAAAAAAAAAAATAAAACTGCATTTGAATAGAGCAGTTAATTTAATCTCATCAGCGATTGACTGTATCGGAAACACGATGAGTCTGTTACTCTACAGCCCACTTTACTATGTTATCTGTCACAATTAAAAAAAGATTTGTAAAAAATAAAAACCTTACAGTTAGACAAAAGAAACGTGAGCACTTGAAAACAATACAACTCAGCAAGTATTACGAGTAACAAGCAGATACTTGGTAAAAAAAAAAACACAAGCAGTAATGTTGCAGAGGCAAATTAAAAAAATTTTCAGTTCTAGCAGGTAAGTATTTGTGATTAATGCAAAAATGTTCACACAAAAATCATATTAGAGAGAAAACTAGAGGAGAACGAAAACAACTAGGATCTACGAAAAAGGACATGAGAAAGCGTATCTTACGTGTTTCGTGAAAGACTGTCGCAACGCCAGATCCCATGACGCAAGGGACGACCGGCTGCTCGATATGGAAACGCTGTCTTCGTCATGGTTTCCATAGTTGTCTCGCACCGTTGAGAAATTCTTGTAAATCTTTTCACCTCGACTCGAAGTTTTGCTGCTGTTGCTATTATTATTATTATTGTTGTTGTATTCCAACTCCCCTCGATCTTTGGATTTAGATCTGAAAGTAACATCGTCAAATATAATTATCCTGGTGATATGACGGGTCTACCGCAATGCGAAATTTCCTGTTCATCACCTGTTTTTCCTGTGCCAAGGAAGAATAGACTTCCTGCGTCGATCCTCGGCATCGGAGAGGCTCTTCTTTAACTTAATACTGGGCGAATTCGTTAAAACGAGGTCCCCGTCGTCGGCAGACGTATCGTCATTATCACATCCGTTTTCCAAACACGCACGATAAATATCAGACCGTAGAAAGCGAGGATAGCTGTCGAACTTCATCAAGTTGAAGATTTGCTTTTGAGCCTGAAAAATACACGTGATGGTAATCAAAATTATTGAAAAAGCTGCAATCAACGACGCACGTAAAAAAACGATTCATTTGAAGTTGTAAGCGTACAACTAGGACTAAATTAAGAATATTTAATTTAACAAAAAATTCTCTACGTAGTCGTATAGAGATCAAATTAATATAATTTTGGAACTCTTTTAAAAATGTTGTTACATCGGATTGTTGTAGTCTTTTTTTCATGATACCAAATACTTGTATAATAACTAATAGTACCAGCACACTTGAGGACAGACAATTTTTTAAGTTAAGGAAATTTAAATATAAAAACTTGGAATCTTGGAGCATGGCTATTTATATTAAATAGCCATGCTCCAAGATTCCAAGTTTTTTCATTTAAATTTCCTTAATTATGGCAAAGGAGCAAGAAGACAGTAGCTTTATTATCAAATTTTTTAAGTTATTCCTAAAGCGTAGTGCATTACTTGTAATGAAAAAATTCCTTTCCAAGTGTTACTTATAACACAGTGTTTAACAAAATTTTTTTTCCAGTAAAAAGAAATGCATGACAATTTGAAAGCAAACACAAATAAAGTCGAAACAGTTGAAAAAGTATTGCAATATTTGATTTTATATGGTTTAAAATAATACTCGATTCATAAAAATCTACTGCACTTATCTGCAAGAAAAACATTAACTTTACTGAGGAAGAAAATTTTTATTTTAAAAGTAGTTATAAAACCCGTAAAATAATTGTGCTCAAGTCTGAGTACTAAAAAATGCTTCTCTGAGTGCACATCATTTACCCAATAACTTCTTTCTCATGATATTGAAATTAAGAAAGCATCAAACGAGTGATCACCTGCGCGAAGAGATCAGGGGGAGCGGAGGCGAGGAGCTCCGGCGTGATCTGTCCGGTGGCGTGGCTGTCGACGTTCACCGGCTCCGAGGCGGCGCTCGACAGGTGCCTCCGGTAGATCTGCTCGGCCAATTTCTTCCGGGCTGCCGCGTCCCCCGTGTCCGCGTATCGCTCGCACGCCGCCCAGAAGTAGATGTTTTCGTGGCTTATCTCCTTCTTCAGGTATTTCTGTGGACATCGTTAAAATACATTGGTGTTGGAATCACGTTACACTGTGGTTTATCTCATTCACATTCTAAGGTTGAATATTGGCAAACTATGTGTACATGGCCAGATTTTACAGCGAAAAACACGCGTGCTGTATCCAAAATCAATTAAAATTTTTACTCTTCCGGTATACTTGTGTCAACTAGTCATCTCTCAGTATACATAGTATATTTACGCGGAAAAAATGTTATATACATATTAAGCTGTTTTTGGACTCACGGCAAAAATTTGCAGGCCTTTCGGGTCCTCCAGTAGCTTTTCGAAGCTAATGGCCCACGTGTGGACTCCATGGCTGGCCGGTTTATCGCACGACTCGGTGCTTCCATGCTGAAAAAACAACAATAACAATAAACATTAGCCTTTGGTTTTTATAAAAATATCATTTGTTAACATAGAAATAAGGTACTCGCGAGTCATTACATCGCGAAACAGGACTAAGCTCAAACGATGGTGCATAAAATGCATGTTTACTTAACACTTGCACGGAGTAGAGTGACTAAACGTCATAAACATCGCTCGTTTCTTCCGCCGACATCGGAGGCACGAGGTGATATTCTATAGACGCTGACGCATCTCGCAAGATAAGGAACGGATTTCCTTGTATTGAAAATTAATGGAGGATTGTTTCAGTTATTTTGGGCGTACCGATCTTTGGCTCGAAACGCCCCGCGTCACTCTCGTGCTGGAGAAAATTTATGTCTCCAGCTGTGGCTCTCTTTTCTATGTATAGTTATGATTTTTAATAGCACGAGAGTGCCCCCGGGGGGGGGGGGGCGCCAAGAGTCGCCAGGTCGGACACAACTTTTGTATACAAGGACAAGGCCATTGGGCAATAAAACCTACAGGAGTTGTATCAATTTTTATTGCACCAACATTCAAAAGCCATTGAGAAAGGATTAAAAAGATTTATCATCAATTGCCAAAATATCCTGGCACGGATTTAACTTGCTTTTAAGTGTGTTTAATTTAAACAAAAGTTTTTTTTATTGATTGTTGGGAGAGAACAAATAGAGCTAGGAAAAACAGATCAGATTGTTGTTGAAACCTTTTTATTGATACCGTTCCAGTAAATTAAAAAATAATAATAATAATAAATGTCGTTAGAATCACACGGTTCAAAACATTTTAGATTTTCAGTGCACAAACTAGGTACCTTGTCATTGTACGAAGGAAAATTATACTTTCTAAACTCCAACACGGGTAGAGTCCGTAAGTACTTACGGCATTGGCTAACAGAGAAAAAAAGCCCCTTTTTGTGGACGCGGGCACGTACATACACACAGGGATATTTATGCTAGTCACGTATTCGGAATGATTGCAGACACCAGCTTGGAATGACACGCACCGTAGTGAGACATGAGTTACTTTAAAAAGCCTTTTATAACTTACTACTCATTAAACGTAAGATTTTTATTTTATAAATACAAAAAAAAAAAGTGTCAAAAGTAATTCGATTGAAAAAAAAAAAAAATACAATACTGCTATCAAGATATTCGTACACCAAATAGTGAAATTTACTAATAAGCCAATAAGGTTTAATTGGATCAGTTGATTGGCTTTAATGGAATTTTTAATGATGAAACAAGCAATTACTTCAATATCTTTGTTCAAATACATTTGATTCTAACATCGAGATAGGGGATACTGAAAGTTTTTAATTACCATTATTCTCAAGCAGCACATTCGATTTTTTTCCTCATGCCTCACCTAAACATGCTTTGAAATGATTTTCACGAAAATTCGTCATCCAGGAAATGTAATAACACTTACGAATTAGTACTAACATCGAACTTATTTTTTCCAATACTTTGTAACTTTTTCGCAGCAATTTGTCAATTTATAAGAACTTGTCACCAAACCAATACCATAAAGGCTTTTTATCAGTAGCAAAGTTACGAGAATGATTTTTTTTTGCCATTGGATGATTTCAGTATCTATTTTTAGATTACCTAATTGATTAACTGATAGTAACACACAGTTACAGTAGGTGACTCAAGAATTTTCTTCTTGATAATTTTTGAGGTAAAGTGAAAATCAAAAAGCGTTTTGTTACTTGTGTAAAAATGAGTAATAATTGACCAACGCTTACAAGTAATAGGTTGGCCAATCCCCTCGAAAGTTACATGAAATTAAAATCACGTGCCAAATATACTTTTCATACAGCGAACTTTTGAAAAAAGTAAAAATAATAACACGAGAAGTGCAGCAATGTGCGCAGAAACAACAAATTAAAGTCAACAATGTATCCGAGATTGGCTCGTACCAACCAATGGGAAGCGCTATAATTTTAAAAACAAGTAAACTGATCCAACCAGTACAGCTGTACAAAATCTTAAGGCAAAAGTAAATTCTTGGTCAAGCAAGCAGTAAGGGGAAATCGAGGATAGAGTAGACAAGTGGTAAATTGTTTTTTTTTTTTTTGTTTTTTTTTTTTTTCCAACACTTTATTGCAACTTTTGTAAAATACTCGAAGGAAACATGTTCACATCGCTCACAAAGATGGTCTACTATTTAGTTTCAGAAAATAGTCCCTCCATTGGACTTATCCACGGGCTTCGTGCTCCAGTTGTTGAGGGTCGATGATTCAGTAACGACAGCTGGACCCTGAGGTTGCTGGACTTGGCGTATCACTGCCATCTGGATCTTTGGCGGCACATACTCCTTAAGCTTGTAATATTGGGGTTTGGAATTTTGACGCGACATTGCGATGAAAGATCTTTTTTTCCCCGACAAAGTCTGGATGAGTGAAGTTTTACACCAATTACAACTGAAGTTAAACTAACCAGTGCTTGTATGAGGACTGAACCATAACGCGATGCGACGCCAGCAAGTCGCACATTGAATGTACGAGTGGAAGGGGAGGGGAGGGGGGGGGGTAAAAATTGATAAGGAAAATGTAGAAAGAAAGTCACTATGACTACCTACGAAATGTGGCCATTGTGCTTTGTCGGCAAAGAGACAAAGGAAAAAATGGGGGTATGAGCAGGTTAATCTATTGGCATTGAGTGATAGGAATAAAATTGTATACTGAAACGGACTCCTGAATTGTGATCTGTTCATCTCGTTTGCCGATCAACATGAATGCCATTACACGTTGCCCCAAAATATGACGTATCAGTGGTTATATGGTCTTTTTTGGCCATTTATGGACATTGACCAATTTACTGTGGATGGACAGATTTTAGGTGAGATAAACTTTACATACGTGGAATTTTTTTTTCCTTTTGCGTGGAAAAAAGTAACCTTGTATCGGTATGGTATTTTTGGCACTATTACAGTTGTATATATATAGCCATGAGATGGTGCGAGTATGTATTCGTGTACAAATATGTGAATAGGTATTTTCCGAGCTTAACGAAAATAAAAATAATGTACTAATCATTTTACTAATTAAAAAAAACTAATAGTAGAAGATTCGTGGGTAAAAAAAAACATCGATAAATGTAATTATTGTCTCAATGATAAATTAATAAGACACAAGTATTAAATTTAATTATATACCAACTGCATTGTTCATCAGAAATAATAATAATAAAGTTTTTGTTAAAATTATATTTAGTCAAAATGGCATTGGTGTTGATATTCCCGATCCCCATGAAATTAGAAACACTCCATTAAAAGCGCACTTTATGTGATTCAAAATATTTCTTGCATAATCGAAGAATCAATCAATTGATTGAGGCACCGGTAAACTTTACCAACCCAATCACAAAGAAATTAACAAATGTACAATTATTTATCCTGCAGTGCACCAGATTTTTGTCAGAAATTAGGTACAATTAAAAAAAAATCTAGACTAGGTCAATATCATGAAGCATCTTATTACGTAAGGGGTCCAATAAAAACCCCGCTAGCTGTCTCCCTCGTATGCTTAATTAAAACTTGCAAAGAAGATAAATTTAATCGACAACAAAAAAATTACTTAAAGCACACACCCATCAATCTACCAACACGAATCCTATCCTAAAAATAACTGATCCCACGTTATCATATTTACAGGCGTCATAAATGACGTTCAAGTTTCATTCGAGTTAATTCAACTCAGAGCTTCAGTAATGAAAACATCCTCATGCATATCGAAGTAGAATTCTTTTTTTTTTTTTTCCAATTCCTCTCTTCGATCGGTCGAAGTAAACTCATCCCTCGCGAGTAAAGTTCTCACGGTACAACAACTCTGATGTATATAATGCCCGCAACACATCAGGTGTACCGATTATATTTCACGTTGCCCCTAAATGTTTCGTTATGATTTTTCAAGGGCCCCACTTCTAGAATGTGACAAATCAGCAAACTGCAACTCACCGGGCGACTGGTGCTTCGTCGTCGGCGGGACGACTCGCGCCTTCTTCCGCCTCTTTCGTCTTGATACGCCCATTTGATCGTCTTCCCCTCGGACGCGCACGACCGCGAGTCCAAGACCACTCGGCCTGAGAACGACCAACGATTCACCTTACCGATCTCTCACTGCAACTGTGTATATACAATACCACGCGAGCGCGCCTATTATCTGCCCGACGTCGGCGATCACAGTGACGACAATGACGTTGACGATCCGGTGTGCACGGAGGGGCGCCGCCCAACACGCCGCTAACAAAAACGACCTCGATTTCAACAACACTCGCTCCGCAGAGAGAAAGGAGTACCTATGCTTGTACTTCTATTACTTTTGCCTCCCTTGTATAATTTTTTTTGCTCTCTCTCTCTCTCTTCAACCACACCGAGTGCACTTGAACTTCTTTCCTTTTTTTTTTCTTCACCATAGACGATAACACCCGACGATTTCACGCACCTGGTATCGTGAACCGATTTCCGATCGATCCGAACGATCCGCAGTTTTCGATCGCACTGAATGGGGAAAGAAGGGACATGTAACACAGCCGCGCGGAACGAAAGTGTTCGGGCCCACGGAGTCGCGGCAATGTACTGACAGCGCGACCACCAGACTCTCCGATCGGCTCTCCCGTGCTGCCGATACATAGGTATACAAGTACGTAGAAATCGCGTGCATATACATATAATACACATAGGGGGGTCCCTACTTCTTCGGCTCTTGGCCGCACCGATATAATCCCTCCTCGCGAGCCCCTCTCTCGCTCTTTTATTCCTCCTCTGTATACATATAATATGGACTTTACGTTTACTATATACATGTGCAACGACGCTTTGTTGATCCCGTCCATCGGTCGCTCGCTCCTGTCATTACCGCCGCCGCCACTACTTACACTCCCGTGTACCTATTTATATTCTTTGAACCATCATAGCCAACGCTCTCTATCCTCTCGCTCGCTTGTATGGAATACAGTGTACATGTTTGGGTCTTTAAAAAAATTAGGTACAAAAATTGTTGATTTGGGATAAACCAACTCGAACTATCGTTGTTGCGATACAAGAAACACCCGGTAGTATCTTTCACCCCTCGTTGTAGTTGTAATGAAGTCAAATACTCTAAAGCTTTTTTTGAAACGATCTTCAATACGATCTCTAGAAATGGTGTGTGAAATTACGATGGATGGTAACACGATTGTTTCATCGATTCGCTATCTAAATTGAATTATTTGCAATATCATAAGCCAATCGGTTGATGGAATGACAGCTCGTATCGAGGGTTTGTCGATTTATTTTTCTGTAATTTTGACATGCCATGTGAGTAGAGTCAAAACTTCATGTTAAATCCTTGAGAATTTTCGATGTTCCCATGTAGATCGGTTGATACCTTGGCTAAACGATGAGCTTACTTTTTACTGAATCTTCTCAATTTTCCATAGTATACAGTCTTTCAAAGATCAAACCAATGGCCATGACCATACGTTCCGAAACATTCGATTCCCTTTGACTCCCGCGACTTTTCAAAGACTCTAACATGTGCACGCATCTCACAGTCGCGTTGTGCGAACTTAAAAGGGCGAGGACCCTGTTTTTTTCCCCCATATAGCTTGGAGTCGTAACTGCGGTACATATGCATCGCACGACAATAGAGTATATCTCTGGTCCTACTTTTGAATTCGAGCGGAGGCCGTGTGGGTGCTCATCGTCGGCTTGAATTTCAATTGGACGTGCGTATATTTAGATGATCAAGACAAGCAAAGGGAGGGGTTGGGTAGAATGTAAATTCGGCGGTTTTTGCTTCACCAGAAGCCTCGATGCCGCAACGCGAATTTTATTTTCACAAGCGGGCTATTGTTTTGCGGATTATAATAGCCCCCCCTTGGTTACTGGTGACAGAGGCAGGTAGTCCGCGGTTTGGTCAGCAGTGTATGTTGGACTCGAAATGTAACACTGTGTTTTTGTATACTTTTTATAAAGAAACTCTGTTTTACAGATTCGCCAAAAATAAACTACGAATTTATATATATATAAAAAAAAAAAACCATATATTAGCCACATATAAGTCCCATTGAAATACGAAAGAAAACCTACTTGCACAATACGCAGCCACAAACACACGTTCATTGCAGAGGTAAAACCAAGCGAGAGCACAAGAAAGTCACTATGTAAGCGCTCTCGTGGTACAAAGATGCGCGGTGGGTACCGAAAAGAGGATGTTCACTCCACGAACGCTCCAGCAACTAATCGAGTCCAGAAACAACTAGGAAATAAGTACACGAACTCGACACCGAAGCGCGAAATCCGATGATCGACCAAGTAATTGGGGATGTATATGTAAGTACAGCTGATGGCGAACGAAACGAGCGTCTTCTCTTGCTGCCGCGCAACCCGATACTCGCACGTCCGACTGCAATTTTTCGAAGCCGCGCGTATGCGAACAAGGGTACGGTCTCAAGCAGCAAGAGTGCTTATCTTTGGTGCAGTCAAAATGAATAGTTACAGCTACCCACGTGACGATACAGTGTACGTATATACACACAGGATCCAGAAAGTTATGACGCATTCGCTTTCCCTCTACTTTCGTGTGGAATATATTGGGGTAATCCTTTAGGGAACTCTAAACTTGTCCTTTGTTCGATCGTTGGATTTGGAGTTTGCCTTTTGCCACTCGCAAAGTTTGGAACCTTTAAACAGAGTTTCCAGTTAATTTTCATAAAGACTAAATAACATTCGTGAGTTCGTGCATACGAAATCCATGGACGGATGATGAAAATCGCCGAGGACTATGTTTCCTTTACCATGACGTGTTCCTTGAAGAACCCAAGCAAAGAGGAACTTTCTTCTTTTATTCGATCCATAAATCAATCCAAGCTCAGTCTACACATTGTAAAAATTGGCTTCACTTACAAGTGTCCTCCCTCATTTTTCATTCACCGTAGAATTTAAAGTTGAATAGAAGGTGCACCTTAACTATCAAATAACAAATTGAAATCTCAGTCTTTTTTTTAAAATTAATATAAATTATGAGCCACGCATAATAATATAATGCAGATGATGGTACACAATAGCAGTGAAATACATGGAGAGACGGAAGCTGTAAACACGGGTGTACAAGACGTATAGGTACAATCACGTGAAAGAACGAACAAGATGGACAGACAGAGAGCAAGGGGGGAGTGTTTTGTGCGCGCATCACCGAGTAAATTACCAGAGTAAGTGTACTTGTTGTATAAGTATATACCCATGTATAACACAAAGAGTTCAACGCCGCAGCCGATGCACAGCCACAGAGTTTTTTTTTCATACAAGCTCACATAGAGCGTCGGTTCCTCGACGAAGTCACGGAAATGTTTCTTTTCATCGGTTATATCGATGCATAGGCTTGATTTGGAGAGTTTTGCTTAGAGTCGACACAATTATATATAATAAAAAAGGATCAATCAACTGTTAATTGTATTACGTAATAACTCGCTCCAGCCACATAATTAAATACTCTATATACAACATCTTCTGCCAATTAAAAAAAAAAATAATAATAATAATAGTAAACAGTTTAACTGCTGTGAACTACCGCGCCCGCAATTTTCTCGAGCGACTCAAAGCAGCCCTATTAATTTATTACACATTTATGCTCAAGATCGGATCTTACGTTCCGTCGAGAGATGCGTCGCGTGCAGTGGATCAAAGGGAATCCAAGCTGGTGAGAACTTTGCGAGGCATTTCTCCGCACGTGCACACGTCAGCGGTTTATCTTTTCTTTTCCTCTCGACTGTTGAACCATACGTACTCACTCGAAGTAGGTTGATATATAACGAGACAAACCTCGCGGAGACGAGCGCGGCCTGACCGCAACTTAACGATTTCGCATCGACAGGATACACATTTAAGATTATTTTTACTAGAAAAACATTAATTTATTAGCCCCGGGACACACGATACCGCTGATTTTCACGATACTTCGATTTCTCCTTCAAAAGCAAAACCAGCGATTGATACTTTGATTGAAAAAACGCCTAAAGTATACTAATGCGTTGTGTCAAGAGTCATGTAGATGAAAAAGTTAAAACACGCCGAACCGTTGCAGCAGCGCATTTTACTCCCATCAAGATTGTCAGGAAGAGTCTTTTAAAAAGGGACGCTGAGTTATTAATAGGCGTACACGCATCGCTTGAGCGCCACAGCCTGTGAAAGTTCCCGCGATTTTTCTCGGCAAAACGCAGGGCACACGGCCTTGGAAAAAAAAAAAAAAAAAAAAAAAACAAGAGGTGGAAAACAATGGCACAGTGGCGTAATTGGCCCTCACAACGCAATCTCTCTCGGTACCTACATAGCGCGGATATCGGAGCAGGCCTGAGCGTGGAAACTTCGTACACGGGCATCTTCGTGCAGCCACGGTTTTTCCTGTTCTTCTTCCTCGCTAATGAAGTGCGCCTATCGAAGCCTTGAACTCGAGGTGTGGAGTATTTTTGCTAAGGTGCAGGGTTAACGGCATCGTTGTTTTCTTCTTCAATTTTAATTGACTTTGGAGCAACGTTTGACGCGAGGTTAATTGTCATTTGGCGTGGTACGTAATCGCCATAGAGCAATGATCGGTAAATATGGATGTCGAGCACGTTATTCGCCAGTTAGAGGTTTTCAGGTGGATTTTGAAGGCACTACATAAATTTCCAAGCTGTTGTGACTACAAAATTGACTGAGTTTGGCTGAATAATTCACCTAATTTGAATGGATAGAGATTTCAATGACATAACATTTTTCAGGGGATATTGTCACTGTAAATCATGCAAAAGGGAGATACAATGCACCAAATTCAACTACTATTTTCGTACTATAATATTTACGTTATTTCCTTTCCAAATTCGAGAAATTCACGTATAAGGGGGTTAAATTTACCCTAGGATGATGTAAAACTCACAAACATAATTAATGAAGAAAAAAAAAACTGTATGGATACCGATCATTGATTGATCAAAAAATAAAATTACAAAAAAAAAAGAAAATCGATCGATTAAACTAAAAAAAAATATTTCAACCCATGGCTCTCATATTCTTATGGATATGTGTACACACAGTACCAATAGAGCACAAAAGAAAACGGAAGCACGCGTGCACCGGTCCCACGTTACGTACACTTACGTAGGGAGAAAAAAAGACTGAAAGAGAAGGGCAGAATATTATATATACCTACGTACACGGGATCTCAACCCACACGAGTATAGCGCACACGTATGATATACTCGCGCACGACGCGCGTCCGTTTCTCACATGTGTACATGTATAAAGGATAAAAAGGCACATGTACTACTACTACACTCACCTCGCATTTGTCGAATTCGACCTTTCGAATCTCCTGTAGGCTGCCCCAAGCCTTTGGCTTGTCGACGCCCGACTTGTGGCTCGACGGCAGGGACTTGGTCGTGTTGCAGTGGTCCTCCTGCAACGACTTTGAACCCGGACTCGTCTTGAGATTTTCCATACTGTAGCCCATGCCGCTTGGATACACCTGCACCACGTTTTCCCGTCAATACATTTCATCATCCACGAGAATATTTTCTTAACGAAAAGTGTTTGCCACTCGATTGTTTACTTTCTTCACATTTTGATAAACAGAGAGAGTTTTTCCGTGGAATCGTTATCGTTAAATCATCGATTTCTCCGATTCGACCGATTTTACAAAAGGACCGACAATGAAACTTGATTCGCGATTGAATCGTCAACCGCAACATCGATTGATTGTTCAAACTAGACTCGGTGAAAGCTCTGCAATAAGGGTGTGACTAATATTTTTAATTAAACCCCAACAAAACGTCACAACAAAGACTCACGTGCGCGCGCGCACACGTACGTACGCACACACACATACACATCACCAGTGAAGCGAAAAACCGTTTGCCTCGACACCACTGCATGCACCGAGACAAAAATATATATAAACGGAGGGGGTGAGTAGAAAGCGAACGACCTACCTTGGGACTGAGTCTGTCAGGAGGGCCGTTCTGCATGCCTCCAGGAAGCTGAGAACGAAGGGGCGGAGGTGCAGCCGGGGTCGCGAAAACAGCAGCACCAGCAGTCCGTAGCGTTCCGACGACGAGGGACGAGGTGTACAGTCGATCCGGCGGCGAGTTGCGCGCCAAGGCAGACAGGGCCGCGAGACTGGCGCATTGTTGCTGGTACTGTTGGTGCTGCTGGGCAAATCGGCCAGATGGCACGGCGGGACAGCTGACGATGCTCCCCTCTCCGGCGCTACGTCGGCGGCGCTCCTTGTTATTGTTGTTATGATTGACGCTTCGTCTGGCTTTTCTTCCTCCAGCCGTTGGGGATGGTGTTTTCTTGGGGTGGTTGTCGCTTCGGTCCTCCTGGTTGAAGTAGTGGTCGCTGTTGCTGCGATCGCTGACCTCGAGGCCGTTGCTGCTGCTACAACGGGCCGGCGAGTGTCTGTCCCCGTGGATGATCGTGCGGTCGGGCTCGCTCGGTGCCTTCTCCGAGTACCTTGGACCGAAGGGCCTGAATTCCAGGGATTTTCGTTTATGAAATTTTACCTCATGAATTTTTGTGAATTTTTGTTTGTTTGATAATTTAGATTTGTGAATAAAAAACGGTTGAAATTCTTTAGCTTTGCATTGAAGATAATGACTACAGAAAGAAATTTCAAGAATTAATTGCAGAACTCGTCTTTTAGCGGGACATTTTCATTAATTATGCAGAACTGACGCATTTTTGAATATAAGGGGGTTCAATTATTTTCTCAAAATGCAGAGAAACTTTCAACAATAACTATTCAGAGAGTCAGGAAACTACATCAGTTTTTTTTTAAATATTTTTAAACATAAATTATTCTTACTGATGAAATTTCAACTCTTGATACAAGCTCTTAAGAATACCAATCAAATTAGGCTGACTTGTTTTTTGTTGATAAAAAAATTGGTGGTAAAAAAATATTGAAAGAATTCTCACTGTTTCCAAACACTCTGAATGATTATTGTTGAAAATTTTACTGCTTTCTCTGCTTTTTTAAAAAATCATTGAACCTCTTCAAGGTTTATACATTTGTTTTTCTATAAAAATATTTTTAACTTATTTTGTCAAGAAAAGTAGGTGCTTCATGTATTTATTTCTATTAGTTTTCTCATTCGTAATAATTTTAATCGTTGTTTGTTATAAAACTTAGCTTTACGTGGCATAACATTAAAACCTCTGAATTATCAGGGAATGATACGTTTTTCCACTAAGCTATAAAAATTTTACACGATTCATTAACTTTATTAAAATTATTTTTATTGATTTGAGAAGAAAAAAAAAAAAAAGTTGGAATCAGATAATTTGCGCATTTGTGTAAAAAACAGCTTTTTTCAACTATGGAAATACTTTGTGCCCACAAGTGGAAATTGACCTTTTTTCCTCGAAACACGTAGCTTTGCGCCCCGGATAGGAAATAGTACTTTTAATCATACACTGTATAGGTAGGGCATCAAATACGATTTCAGCACATTTGTGTCCGAGCGACGAATGCCATTTTTCTCATCGAGGCCACAGTAGCCGTACTTTCCACTCAAGTGACAAAACCTACTGTTTACGATAAGTTAGCGAAAACTCTTAGATGTCACTAAAATGATTATACCGATAATACGTCCTCCATAATAATTATGCCAATTTCTTAATATTATCATCTCATATGCACAGAATACAAAGTCATATTACATACATATGTATGCAGTACATGCAAAGCCTGTCGATACAGTCGTATGTTTCAACACTATGCAATTGACTTAATTAACTGAAAAAAATAGAGCAATGGGTGAACAATTTTTTTTATCTAAATTTTGTCGGGGAATTAAAATAAAATAGCAATTGTGATAGAAAGAAAAGGTATATTATGATCCAACTCACCTTGGGATAAGGATAATTATTGTTTAAAACGCGAGTATTAAAAGTTATTGTTTTTTAGGGAAGATAAAAAATAATTTGAAAAAATGTGAATTGAAAATTCTGTAAGTGGATTCATTAATTATGTTATGATTGAAAAGTCGATTATTTAATAGCATCAAGTATAACATTGACTACTTGTTTCAGGGAAACATTTCATTAAGATTATTTTATTAAATATTTACAGTTCATAAGTACTTTAATAATTCTTAATAACAGGAAATTTGAAAATATAATCGTTTAAAAGTAATTTAGAAAAGTGAAGTAAAATTTTTCCTCAAACACTTTCATGTAAAAATAGTGTTTATTTTAATAATTGTTGAAAAAAATAGAGATAAAAAATTTCAGGTCTGAAATTAAGTAAATTGCAGACCAATGGTTTGGTTTCGAAAACGGTATAAAAAAGCATCACAAATTTGGAGCGAGCACAGTTAACGACAGCGTTAAAGTTCTAAGCCTAACAAAATGTCTCCAAAATTCATCTTCTTCTTCCTAACGGCCGTCTTTCTGCTGGTAACCAGTAAGTAATACACCAAATATTAATAAAAAAGCTTTTCAAAGATATTAAGAATTTCCAAAATAACAAAGTATAAAAATTGTTTTTGAATTTTACTAGTAAGATCTAAAAAATTTTTAATTATCTTTCAAAATTTTGTAAATTATTGAAAGATTTTAGTCTTGCAATTATTCTCAGAATAGCAATATAAAATATTTAATCAAATTGCTGCAGTGGTTTCCGGTGAAATGTGTGACTGCGAAGCTATCAGATCTTGTCAAGAAGAGTGCGATACAGATTTTCCTGGTAGAGATGCTGCTTACTCTAGCACTGCGAAATATTGCTACTGTGTACCACCAGGTCAAAAGAACCAGCACTTGTAATAATGTGATTGCTTTGTCAAACTAATTGTTTTTAAATGTTGTGGGCCCCAATTATTAAATAAATTTATCTTTCTTCGTTCACATACATGATTTTTCAATTTTAATAGAATCCTTCCTTAATTTATTCTTTTAGAACAATATGTAAACTGAACAAAGAATCTTGCCTTATGCAACCATGATTTTATTCATTTCCAGTACATAAAGTAGACACAAGTATATAAATTTCATAAGGGACTATGTCTTTTTTGATGGAGATTTTTCTTCTGCATTGTTAATTATAGAAGATCTTTTAAAATCATACTAAATATATGCCACTTCCGCCCTTTTCGAATGTAAATTATGACACGCCTAGTAAAAAAAACTAGTTTTGGTATCTCTCAAGAGTTTGAGATGTTTCAATTGAATGCGCTCAAGTAACTATAGATATTTAAATTCTCACATGTACGTGCACCCAACATTTATTTTCTCGTCTCTTAATTGAACGTTTACATTTTACCATCATGAATTTTTAATAAAACGCAGATCAGGTACGTTTAATAGGTTTGGTTATTTTAATTCACTAAAAATTAACAATTATACATCTAGCAAGTTAGAGAGCTCACCTCGTAAAATCGCTCCACCTTGGGTCCGAGATCGCACGAACTGTTAATTTCGAGCCACCAGCATCTTTGACAGTTCTCCCGAGTGAGGAAACGACAATACTCTGAAAACAATATACAACATAAAATGTTTGTGCATGAAAAAATGGCGTCCGAACAAATTCCTTGAAGATTAATAAAAAAAAAAAAAAAACCTTACCGAATCATGATATTTTGGTCGATACTCTACGAAGTTTCGGTCTGAGTAGCATCCATAGTCATCCTTGAACCCAATACCAGAATCGCTATTGCTTGAGTGAGCCGTAGAAGAACTAACATTGCTGGGCTGTGGTGAAGACTGTTTTTCCCGGAGATTTCTACAATCATTGAATAGACTAGCCTCGTTTTCGGCCCCGTCTGAAATATACAGGGTCTGTATCGCTCCCAGTAAGCCATCGCAGCTAGCTGGGAACTCTTGGCAGGCATTTTCAAGCTCACTAGCTTTGGTGCACGCAAAGCCGAAACTCAGACTGGCGTTCGCGTGTACCGCGTGATCCGTGAGCTGAAAGTAAATTTTGAACACATGGCAAGAAGTCGAGCAGTCTGTGGCATCTTCCGAAGTGTCGTAAGTGTCGGGCGATTTCGTTAGGATGCCGAAATGCAGCTTGTCCTCGTTTGAAAAGGAATTACAGTAGACAATGCGATACGACGGATACTCTGCGATCATGCGGCCATCCTTACCGGCTAGTTTTATGTTTGCTACGTGAATCGTAAGTAAAACCTGCAATAAAAAAAATTGATGAAATACCTTTCAAATCGAGACAATTAACCGATCATTAGTGCTAAAATACGTGCATAAACGTTTCCACAAAGACCTTTACTTGATTACAGATTTCTTTCAGCAATAAACTTATAAATGCAGTCATTTAAGCAATAAAATCATAGAGTAATTTCCACTCACCGTCGTGGGATCGCGTTTATCAGACTTGATTCTCTTGATACACTTTCTCACGAGTGACATCATCGACACGGACTGCAAGTGGCTCGGTATGTCGATCGTGCCGAGGTATCCCAGCACAGTCCTGTGAACGATTTTCTCGGAGTCAGGCTTCCTCGAGGCGGGCGGTGGGGGCGGTGGCAGTGGACTCGACATGTCCCACCTGTGAATAGGATTCGACACAGCGGTCGACTGGATGATGCTCGAGTCGAACATCGATCCAGTCTGCAGATCTCTCACGACCTTTGCTACTCGGCACTGAGGCTGCGCCGATGCTGTTGAGCTTACCGAAGCGTTACTCGACCTCGACCTGCTATTGAAATTGATAGAAATGTATGAGACAGAGCTCATTCTCCGTTCCGCTCAAACAATTTTTGTGCATTTACGTGTGAATGTAGTACACAGAAAAAAGAGTACAGCACCCACCTGTATCTCGGTCTAGAGCGCGACTTGACACTCGTGGCCTCGTCCTCGTCGCTCGAGTCGCTGTAGTAGCTGTCCGCGATCTGCAAGCGCAACAATCCGTTGGACCTTCCAATCAGCTTGACCACGTCGTCGTGGGGCAGTTTTCCAACCGCGTGGCCATTAACCGACAGCAAATAGTCACCGGAGTGTAAACCAGCCGATTCGGCCGGACTGCCGGGTACAATGCTGCTGAGGATGCAGGGCTGTTGGCCAGATATCGTGAACCCGTAGCCTCGGGTGCCTCGCGTTATCTCCAGGTGACGAATGCCATTGTTGACGCGCTTCTTTTTCCGCCTGCTGTGATGATGGTGCTGGGCCCCGGCTGTTTGCGACTGCTGTTGCATTCTGGATCACTCGGAAGGGTACACCTGTTTACTCACATAAAGGTATTCGGGTGTGGTAAGTATTTTTTTTCTTTTTTCAATAATTGCGCAATAATTGTTTTGCTATTGAACAAGCAAGATAGTGTTGAAAACAATAAAGTAAGATCTAACAAAGTAATAATTAGGAATTATTGATGAAAAAATGAAAATTTTGCAATATTGTTTACGCACGTAATGACAGCATCTCAAAATAATTTTTATCAACTAGTTCTGTCATAAAACTATCATTCAGTTTGTAATATTTATTTATGAAACCAAATGAAACTGAGAAGAGTTTCAGTACTTTGAGCAAAGGGATCGTGAAAAGATTAAATCAAACGCAGGTGTGCAAAGAGGCCTAGATCCACCACACAAATGCAGGAACGCTTCCGGACGCCAGTGCATAAATTCCACAAAGTGTATACACACGTATACATATTTATACCGGGCTTTAATGAGGATGTAACCCGTCTTATGGTAGCCGCCGTCGCGCTTGTTATGTGGCAGGTGCGTGTATAAACAACTTTGGATGCATCTAAGTATACGTGAGCGCATCATTATCATATTGATTTATCGATCCACTCTGATACCGCGTTGATTCCATACTACACAATGATCTCTCCGATGTATGGTGTGTTTGAGAATTATTTATAAGAATTAGAATTACCAAAAATTTTGGTATTCATTGATACGTTTTAAATAGTATTTGTCGTTAACTATGATTTCTTCCAACAAGTATCAAGGGAGAAAAGGGAGACAAAATAGCTCTAAAAAATTATTGCTGTACCAATGATTTGATTTTTATAATATTTTTTTGTAGTACCAAAATAACGAAAAAAATAGAGCTGCAAATAATTCAAAATACCATACGTTTTTCATATTTAACTGCATGAGTTCTGAAAAAAATATTTTCAGCCGAACATTCTCAGCCATGTAAAAAATGAACTATAACGCTGCATAACTTGGGCATTATCTGCATACAACTATATGTATACAAATATTATACAAGTGCGCACCCTCGAACGGCAACGGCAGGCGCAAAAGACGCTGCAAGTACTTGGAAAAAAAAAAAAAAAAAAAACGCGTTCGCACGCTGCTTTCTCTCCTTTTGCCTCTCTTGACTCCAAGTCTCCACGAGCATCCTTCTTTTCATTTGATCTTTTCACTCCCACCTTCGAGAGGTTATGGTCTTAAAGTTCCTAGAGAATGTAGATGTATACATAGGAATTCCAATGCACTTTCAAAACTGATGTCCACAATGCAAAACATAAGAAAAGTTGAAAGGCCGAAAAAAAGTTACCTTCAAGAATTTCAATTTAAAATATTGAAGAGACGGGGGGGGGGGTAAAACGCCCTTTGCAAACGAGTAAGATGCTTCCTCGAGTTAGTTTTTGCAAGAGTGGGTGAATAGGTACCGAAAAAAGCAGCAACCAGGTATCGTCGACTTGTTGCAGCAGTGGTCCTTCTACATCACCCTGCCGGCACCAGCATTACAATCATTTTTTCAATGTTTTTCATCCTTAATCTAAAGTTTCAACTTCCGGAGACCTTAGGACGGTTGCAAAAATGGTTTATACTTGATTTTACCTACAGGAAAGAAAGGCACTCTCGCTTCACTATAGCAAGTTAACACAGTGCATCACATCCGTGCACATGCACATATTATGCACCCACGCGCGAGTATTTCACAAACCTCGAGACGATAAATCTAAAAATTTATACCTCTAGTAAATTATAAAATGTATAATATAACACAAAAACATGAAACGTTCCCGAGGGTCCCGACGAAAAAACTAAGCTTTTCACGCTTAACGGCAGATCCAGCAATCGTGCAGCGCGACTCTAAGTATTAGGGACTGGTGAAGCAACAGGTTGTTGACGAGGAAGAACGTAGGAGGAGGAGCAGTAAGCATTCTGCAGGGGCACACTATGGGTGCGTTCCGAAAGTCAGATTGTCGCCATGTATAATGAATGGCAACATTGTAATTTTGTATTGTAATTTTGTAAATATGGTTGATTTTATAAGCCATTTACCCATATGAGATAATTATAAGTATAATATATGTACTTTGGGAGGTCAATTTTCAGGTAAAAAATAGAAATCTTGCCGCAAACAGCAGAATAAATGTCAACTTTTTGTTGTCTATCCATAACAATAATTGCGGCTGGTTTATATATGATTAAATGGCTCTACTGTAAATAGTATTGATTATTTCGATCAGCGCCATCTAGCGGTCTTGATTTTTTGGCCAAAAGTGGCCTCTAAAATTCTCAATCAGAGCAATCAGGATTAGAGCCATTTAGTCAATTATAAACCAGCCGCAACTCATATTAAAGCTATAAAATGAAAAAATAACAATACATGTGTTTTTGGCGGCAAGGTAACAATCTATCTTTTGCCGAAATTTTATCTTCATAAGTATAAAAACATAGTAGGTCGATTTTTTGATAGAAAATATATTGGTAACTTGCCGCCAAAAACACATGTATTGTTATTTTTTTATTTTATAGCTACGAAATGAGTTGCGGCTGGTTTATAACTGACTAAATGGCTCTTATCCTGATTGCTCTGATTGAGAATTTTAGGAGCCACTTTTGGCCAAAAAATAAAGACCGCTAGATGGCGCTGATCCAAATAATTATTGCTATTTACAGTAATGTCATTTTATCAACTATAAACCAGCCGCAAATAATCTTGTAAATAGACAATGAAAAGTTGACGTGTTTTGTGCTATTTGCGGCAAGTTTACAATTTATCTTTTGTCCGAAAATTGACCTTCAAAAGAATAAATATTCTACTTATCTTACATGGCTTATAACATCGACCATATTTACAAAATTACATTACTTTATTACCTTTTACCATTAACTCATGGATGCACAGCCCTTTAACTTTATACTTCGAATAAACAGTTAAGTTATATAGTGTATACATAGCAAAATTTGTGTTACAGAAATCTTGAATTACTATCAAATATATACGTAAATTGATCAGTCTAAAAAAGACAATTAAGGGAAAAAGGCCTAAAAAAGAAGTACAGTCACACGAAGTCTCCTAAGAATGGAGCATTGGATCTCGCTAAATAAAAAATATATTTATTGCAGAGAAGTAAATTTTAAGTATTACAAAAAAACAAAGAACCCAACCTTCTCTGATTATGTGAGATCCAATGCTTCATTCTTAGGGAACTCTACGTGTGCCTGTGCTTCTTTTTAGTACTTTTTTCTTCAATTGTCTTTTTTAGACTGATCAATTTACGTATATATTTGATAGTAATTCAAGATTTCTGTAACACAAATTTTGCTATGTATACACTATATAACTTAACTGTTTATTCGAAGTATAAAGTTAAAGGGCTGTGCATCCATGAGTTAATGGTAAAAGGTAATAAAGTAATGTAATTTTGTAAATATGGTCGATGTTATAAGCCATGTAAGATAAGTAGAATATTTATTCTTTTGAAGGTCAATTTTCGGACAAAAGATAAATTGTAAACTTGCCGCAAATAGCACAAAACACGTCAACTTTTCATTGTCTATTTACAAGATTATTTGCGGCTGGTTTATAGTTGATAAAATGACATTACTGTAAATAGCAATAATTATTTGGATCAGCGCCATCTAGCGGTCTTTATTTTTTGGCCAAAAGTGGCTCCTAAAATTCTCAATCAGAGCAATCAGGATTTGAGCCATTTAGTTAATGATAAACCAGCCGCAACTCATGACAAAGCTATAAAATAAAAAAATAACGATATGTGTGTTTTTGGCGGCAAGTTAACAATCTATCTTTTACTCGAAAATTTATCTTCAAAAGTATAAATACATAAGAGGTCAATTTTTTGGTAAAAAATAGATTGTTAACTTGCCGCCAAAAACAC